AAGGAAGGAAGGAAGGAAGGAAGGAAGGAAGGAAGGAAGGAAGGAAGGAAGGAAGGAAGGTAGGTTGTGCCGCTCACCATTCTGGATGCTCCTGCCTGTCTTGTGATGGGGCTGCTATGCCTCCTGTCCCTCCCATCGTCCGTCCTCTGTCTGCCTTTTCTACTGAAATGGACCCAGTCAGATGTGGGAGGATTTTTGTGTTGCTAACGAAGGAATTCAGCAATGAATACAAAGTTCTGTTTCTTAAGAAGTTTGAAGCAAAGAAGAAACACATTATTTCATTAAGCAGAGCCTTCTCTGCTCCAAACCCACTACAGGCCCTGCTTCAGCAGTCTCAGCCAACCACTGGCTGAGGGTTATGCATTCATGCTCACTGCTGCCACCGCTACCTCTCCAGCTGCCATGCTCATGGTAGTCCTGCAGCAGAGAGAGCTCTGCTTAATGAAATAATGTGTTTTGGTTTCCAGGTCACAATCTGCAGCCCTGGCCTGCCTTGCTTTCACTTGCCTCCCAGGAGGTGCCACCCCTGTGGAACGAGTGGCTGCTTTTCAGGACCATGACTGGCAGCTGGGAGGAGGCAGCGAGCTGTGTCTGGTGCGTGGACCCACAGCAGGCAAACCAGATGTGCACGTGGGAATGTGTAGCAGGCTGAGGCTGCTGACGTGGGACAGGCTGACCAGGAAGCAGTGGTGGTGAGCCCAGCGCTGACAGAGCCCCCATGCCAAGGAGATGAAAGAATACAGTGAAGGTCAATTGGGGGCAGCAGAGCCAACAGCAGGTAGGCAGCAGAATACAGAGGCCTCTTCATCTCAGCCATGCTGTGCAGGGCAGCCAAAAGGGCAGAGATCGGGGGGAGAAAGCTGGGTGGGGGGAGTTGAAATGGAGGCAGTTCACACAGGACAGGAGAATGTGACCATGGAACCCTGCGACAGTCGTAAGTATGGGCCAGTCACCAAGCACCAAAATGTTGATCACATGACCACATAGGCATTGTGACAGTTGTAAGTGCAAGATTCAGTTGTAAGTCCATTTTTTCAGTGCCATTGTAACTTTGAACAGTTACTGAACAAGTGGTTGTTAAGTTAGGCACAGGACAGGAGAAGCATGAGGTCCTTGCCTAACCACTGTGTGGTCCTCACTTAAAAACTGAAACAAGGATTGTAGGAACTGCCATCGCTAAGTGGCATGGTCACATGATGTTTTGTTTTATGACTACTTTGGATAGCAGTGGAAATTCCAGTCCCAGTTAGGGTCATTAACCGAGGACTACCTGCAGCTGGTAGATTTGCAGCTTCAGAGGACCCTATCTATTTCACTCAAATTTCAGGCCTGACATGTTTAAGAAGTTTAATATTGGCATCAGACCTTATTTTTCTTTTCTGTGGCGTCTGGGAGTTTTAGAGAAAAATTCTCTGCATCCAACCTTTCTCTCTGCTCTTAAACAGGACTGTTAAGTGGCTATCCTATCCTAAACCTATCCCTTCAGAATTCACAAGATTTTAGCTTACTAGGTTAGGATGAGATAAGGAGATGGGAATCCAAGGATTATTTTTATGTGACCATGAAATGTAGTTCCTCTAATTTTTCTATACTTTGCCTTCTTGGATCTCATTTATAATTGACTTCAACTGCTCTTAATGCTATCATTATATAGCCAGATCCAAAAGGCTGATCGGTATTGCTGTATAATCCCAAAAATGACATAGAACTTGCTGAAAAATCAAGGAAGCAATCACTGTGTTCACACTGAAATGTAATACTTAATATCAAAATATTTAAGAAAAAGTTTTTTTCACACTACAGAATTTCTACTATTGATCTGGAAAAAACAGAGGAAACCCTCCAGAGCTCTATATTATTTTGTAATATTAATACCTTGTTACCTTTATTTTTAAAACCTATATGTAATATTTTAATGTGGCATTAGCATTGCTTTTTCTTTGCAAAGGTTGCAGGATTCACTTCCATTGAAGAAATATCTGGAAGCCCTGGTGGAAGAGGACTTGAAAGGTTAAATTGGTGGGTCACTTAATAAAACAAAGAGCAGTCACTTTTGAAGCAGTCACTGCATTTTTGCTGAAATCATGCTTTTGTGGAGCCACAAAATAAGAAAAAGGCTACAAAGGTATCCATTAGAAGCAAAATATGAACTTTACTCCTGAATCAGCTTTTCTTTTCTTTTCTTTTTTTCTATTTTTCAGAGGATGCAAAAGCTACTCTTGCAATGCTGCCTGACTTTAAAGTAAGAGAGAAGATGTTATTGCGTGCCTTGAACCGATATGGTTTAAATCCTGATGGGTGTATGCGAGGATGGCTCAGCATTCCTCACGCAATGCGTATTTTCTATATCCACGCATATTGCAGTAAAGTTTGGAACGAAGCCGCATCCTACCGGGTTAAGATCTATGGTACAAGAGTTGTGACTGGTGATCTGATTTTTTCAGGAAAAACTACAGAAAACTGCTCACTGAATGACAAGGTCAGCAGAAAATATTAATAACAAATCTGATTATTAATTTCCTAGTTAAATGAACTCCAGACTCTGTTAGTTAAAATACTACCTCATGTGGCCTATAAAATTGCATTAAGATTCTGAGACTTTGGTCATCTTGGCATTTACATAAAAATCTGATATAGTCTACTGTGGCAGAGGCATTTAAATGACTCATTTACTTGCCACATTGATAAAGGCTAAATTGTTTTTAGAAATTATAGCTTGAACTAAGAGGATAGATCTGTCAAATAGATTACTGTTGTTCTGGGTTTAAGAAAAATCTATGGTGTAAATACTTTATTATGATGTTGTATGTTCAAATAAAACATCGTGGTTGACACAGAATGTGACAAGTTAAAACTCAGTGATATACTGAAAAATTCTGAAGTCTGTTTAACATATCTGTTATTGCACAAACTATTCTACATCAGGAATTGGTCATTTGGTGCCCTATAAATCACTGGGGCTATTATTTCCATAAACTCCAGGTAGGTTTATCTATTTTTCACAGATTATAGAATTTTTTTATCTTTTCCCCCAATAAATAACTTGGGAATGCTTTCTATTAATTAATGGTTAGGATGACATCCTAGGTCCATTTACTTGAAAACAAGCCATATTGAGTATATGGGAATGACCACTGAATAAATGTAAAGGATTATACAGTAGCCGTGCAATACATGAAAAGTGATCTACAATCACATTCCCATTCTTTAAAATTTATTTATTTATTTATTTATTTATTTATTTATTTATTTATTTA